TAACTCCAGTTTTATAGTTTTCAAGCTGTTTTACAGTGTGGAACATTGGAAATGAACTGGCACATACACACCCAACACTGTTAAACTGTTATTTGTTTAAATTTAAAAGGTGGCATGTGGCAATGTTGGGATGTTATCAAGGGAGGTTGGCTGTGTGAATGCTTACATAGCTCCTCAGTTGGCATTTACCTTCTGCAGATTCCACATGATAGCAGGTCAGCTTTTCAGCTTTGCAGCTTCAAATGTTATAAATTTTAAGGATACTTGGTGGGAATCCGGTTCTCTGGGGGCAAAACTCCCATTAACCAATATGACAAGAGACTGATGTATAAATCAAAGTACCAGTATCATTTTGCAATAAAAGCCTTGAGCTTTCTTTTGACAGATATTTCAGGCAATATGATGAGCCTATTATCTCTCTCAGCACCTTTCCCAGGAGAGTCAAAATTATACACAGGAGGTTCCCTGATGTATATAGAATAGGAGAAAAGTGAAGGAGTTGTCTAATTTAGATAATAAATCAGTGTGTTTCAGAGGCCATATATATTTATGTCCACTGACTGTAGTACTAGTCTCTACAGGCCACCCTGCCTCCTCCCTCCATTGAGTTTGTGTGGGTACTAACCTGCCCGGTCTTCAAGTTTACCTATTCTGTGTGTGAGGTTGCCTGTGCTTTCAAGTTCAAACAACCTTTCTCGTAACATAATTCCACAGAATTGACCAAGTTCCTGCTTACCTGATTGCAGTCACAATTTAAGTCCACTTTCCAGTGGTGATCCTTGGGTCCCCTTTACTGCATCTTGGGTGTTTTCAAACGTATTTCAACAGTCTTGGTGAGACTAGACCACGAAGAACTGGAATCGTAGATCCCCTATCTTATATCACATATAGACTTGCTGATTTAGCTCTTTGAGGACAAGCTTTTCCCCATGTTCTTGGGTGGGAGGTCCCTCCATGCTACTGCTCTTGGCTCTCTGCATAAGGTGCAGGGAAAATGAGGGGTTTCCATCCCTGTGTCCAAGTCCAAATACCCTTAATTCCTGGCATCTCCTGTTTGCCCCCTCTTGGGAATGTTCCTTAGGATAAATATCTTAAGACGCTTGGCCTACACCTCTCTTTTTTGGCAAATGTCAAACCACACCGATTTGGGGCTTGGTTCTCCCCCGGCAAAAGTCCCACGTGAACCCTCCTGAGCTGAAGCAAAAGGCCCAGACCTGTCTGTGGGCTACCTGAGTCCCCAGATGCTGCATCCCAGCTGTATCCCTGGTCTGTCCTGGTCTCCCTCTTGGGCCCCCTGGTTGCTCCTGTCATGTGAGCCTGGCTCCAGGCTGCACACCTGGCTCACCAATGCCAAACAAGCTCTGCCAGCTGCTGCATGATTGTTGACACTCAGGGGTGCACTGCCTGTTTGATCACATTCTGAAACACTCTTTGCTAAAACCGACAAAGTAAAGTATTCCTGAACATATAATGTAGTACTTTGGGGGGAAATTTAAGCATTTTAGTAGTATATTAAAAATAGTAAATTTCAGAATATTTCACAGTGCCTAGAGCAATGACCTAGTAGACCAGGGAGCTAGCACACAAGAAACCAGTATTGCAAAAGTGAATTGGTTTTCATTGTAAAGATATAAAATGCAGCTACTGTGCACAAATATAATCCCCAAACAATAACACTTTTGTTATCAGAACTCTGTTAAGTAATCAAGAACTTATGAAACTTATCAAATATTACAGCTGGAAAATTCATCATCATCATCTTTTTTTTTTTTTTTCTTTTTTTAGAGGCATGGTCTTGCTATGTTGCCAGGCTGGCTTTGAACTCCTGGGCTTAAAGGATCCTTCTGCCTCAGCCTCGCAAGCAGCTAGGACTATAGGTGTGTGCCACAGCACCTGGCTCATCTTTTTCTTATTGTTACATAATAAATTAAATGGTAGTAGTGCATATGAAATGCACAAAGAGATTAGTCAAACAATAGTTTGTATAATATATATTAGAGATTGTGTGTATATGTATATACTAGTATATATAAATATGCTAGTATTGATTATATTATAGTGTAGCAATGGTTTTATCTGCCTGAATCAGTGGAGACAGACAAACGGGACAATCAAGGCTTGTGGAGATATGTAAGAGCCCTCTCTTACAGAATGGGTTGTCATCACATTAGCTCAGTGGTTCTCGTGAACTTTTGGCTGGAGCATCACTTCAGTAGTGCAAAACTAAGCAGTTAAGAGTATTTGCTCAAAAATGTTCTCTCAGAATTCCTGAAAAGAAAATGATGAACTTGAAAAATTAGTTGAAAAAATAATAATTCTGTTGACTGTACATCATAGTGAATCTGACAACCATTTTTTTTTGAAAATGCGCCCTTTGGAGAATACAAGCATGCCCCGTACTGGCATAGCACTTTTAAGCACCTTCATGTCTCCGATCTCCTTACAGCCTTGTGATACATGTGAAACTCATGTTTTCATAGACAAAGAGGTTCCCTTTCTAAGAAGCACATCTGGGACTCTAATTTCAGGACTTTCCCTCCATGTGGTGACCACTCCTGGAGAAATGATGCTTGTGTGTGACTAATGAAAGGTAGGCTTCCCACAGACACACTTTTCTTGCTAAGAGCCTATTCCTTCAGGCTGTTGTATTTTGTTGTTAACAGTGACTATGACAAGCGCTAACAGGATGCTCCCTCTGTGTTTGAGAATAAGTGCTTTTCGGTGTGTGTGCTAGGAGTTTGCTTGTTTGCTCTCAGGCCCAGTGTCTGTCCTTTCTCTCTGCTCTGTGTCTCTCTGGATACACTTCCCAGCCTCCTGTATCTTCTGACTTCTACCTCCTCTGGGCAAGGAGAGGCACTGGTAGGAGACTACAGGGTGAGGGGAAAAGAGTAGCCTGGGCCTTTCTCTCCTTCCTATCTTCGTTGTGTGGTATCTCCACATCCAGCAGCAGCTAATTCTCCGTGGCATTAGCTCCCCTGCCCCACCATGCTCCAGCACCTACTGGGGTGCCTGGATTGACTCCCCGGCTCTACAAAACAGCCATCTTCCTTTGTCCTTCCAGCTGCCTATCTCTAGATGGCCTCTGTTCTGTTTGGCAACTTAGCTCTTCTATCCCCTGTGGAACTAAATCCCTGCCTTGAAATCTGTCTGCTGAAAGACCTACAGTGGTTTTGTTTCATGACTAGACTGTGCTGCTTCAATTCGATATGACTTTTTACCTTCACAGCATTCCTGGAAGGAGGTAATATTATTATCTCCATTTACGGACAAGGAAACCGAGGCTTGAAAGAGAAAGAATGTGCCCAAGCTCATACAGTCTATAAGTGGGGGCTCTGGAACTCCAGAAATTGTGTGTTGTGCTTGCCTCCAGAGGACAGGTGACACGGAGAGAGTGCTTCCTTGTGTCAGGTCCCAGGGTCTGACTGTGCCTGCATGTACCATCTCGTGGTGTCTCCACAGCAATCTCCCCAGTGACCGATGAGGAAATGGAGCTCAGAAGCATTACCTTGCCAAAGGAGCTGAGTTGGTAGGCAGGTAGGCAGCAGAGATGGGATTCAAACCTATTTTTTTTTTTTTTTGAGATGGAGTCTCACTCTGTCACCCAGGCTGGCGTGCAGTGGCGCAATCTTGCTCCCTGCAAGCTCTGCCTCCCAGGTTCGAGTGATTCTCCTGCCTCAGCCTCCTAAGTAGCTGGGATAACAGGAGCGAGCCACCACACCCGGTTGATTTGTGTATTTTTAGTAGAGATGGAGTTTCACATATTGGTGAGGCTGGTCTCGAACGCCTGGCCTCAGTTGACCTGCCCGCTTGGGCCTCCACCTGTACAGTGCTGGGATTACAGGCGTGAGGCACCACACCCCACCCAAACCTATTCTTTCTACTGCTACTAGTTCTTCCCAAAAGTTAATGTGTATCACCATGTGGAATGTGGTTGAAATGTACATTCCCAGTTCCCACTCCAGAAGCTCCAATTTGGTAGATTTGGGAAGGGTGTAATAGGCATTTTGCACAACTCCCTAAGTGATGCTGAGGTCACATGGGACCAACCCTGCTTATTCTGTATGGCCTTCCTGTTCTACTGGTGACGCCCTGTGTGGCTGGTGCATGCCTCTCCTTGCTGCCCTCAGTTTCCCTGTCTGTAGAGTGAGGGGCTGGACCAGAGAATCTCCCAGGGCCTCCCAGGTTTTACCTGAGTCCCCTAAACCTGTGTGCTGCAGAGATGCAAGGCACATGATGTTGTGCTTCCAGGGGGATTGCTGCGTCCACTGTGCCCTCCCAGATCAGCAGCCAGACAAGGAGAGCGGGGTTTTCTCAGGCACCCCCAGGCCGTGAGGCTCCACAGGAGCCCTCTGGCTTGTGGGTAAAGGAAAGCCCTGTTTATTGGTTTGCAGCAGTTGGCAAACTGACATTTAAAAAAGGAAGTGAATTGTGAGGTGGGGATTTTAATTCAGGGAAATATTTGAAGAACTCAGTGTTTGCTCAGAGAGGTCATTAAATAGGTTTTGTTCCCACACCCTCTGGAAAAATGATGCTTCATTAAAATGGCAACACGAGGTGTAGTGAAAATGGTGAAACTGGGAACGCTGAAAAGACACATTCACTAGATTCCACTTAAAATGTAAAAGGAGTGTAAAGAAAACAAATGGACATTTTCCTGAGGCAGCTGAGCGATACAAAACACAGGCATCTTTGTCTCCTTCTTGAAAACTTCCACAATGCATTCTCCTTTCTTCCTCTCCACTAATCTGTACTTCCAAGAGGTGTTGAGTTTCGGCCAAACTTTCTGCTCGGCTCGCATCAAAGGCTGCCCTCTTGTGAATAGCCAGCTCTCACCTAATGATCTCCCTGCTCACTCCTGACCAGGATGCAGGTCATTCCCCAGAATAATTAGCTCACAGGCAGAGTTTCCAGGCGCTTCCAGGAGCATCAATCACCGGGATGAATGGGAAGCCCGTGTGTGGGAACTGCAGGGGGAGCTGGGTGCATAGCCACCCCAGCCTTGTCACCCTGCGGCTGTCCTTGCCATGCTTCCTTGGACCCCCATCTACCCCCGGTTTTGGGTGACAGGACGAGTTGGGCCAGTTACCAGGTAAGTGAAGAGGGCTGTGGAAGTATCAGCCCTAACACCCCACCAATGCGAGCCAGGCTGAGCTTCTGTTTCCCTTGTGACAGGATCTTGTCGCCTGGTTCTGATGGTGTCTTGGTTCCCGGCTGGAGTTTTGTGTTGACCACGACCGTTGCCTGCTGTCGGGCAGCTGCGTGTGTTTCACAACAAACAGGGAGCCAGGGAGACCACCCTGCGGGGCTGCCCCTTCCCTCAGAGCTTTCTGCTTGGGTCGCTGGCGTCTTGCGGTGCCTTCATTCGTCTGTGGTGTGAGGTACTAGTCCAGGCTTAGGCGCTAACAGTGAATGAGAAGGAGAATACGCTCTGCCAGTGCGGCGGAAGGTCAATATGGAGCCTGGTTTGCTCTTAGACTCTTTCCAAGGCGGATGGGCTTCCTCTTCCCTCCTGACCAGGGATTTTGATGCCCCTGCCCTGGGCTGTCTGGTTCCTGCTCCCAAGTCTTCAGAAAGATCCCAGGGCCTGGAGACCGTGAGTTCAGGTTCAGATGCCTTGCGTGGTCTGTGGATCCTGGGCCTGGTCTCTGTCCCCGGGCCCGTGTTCAGGGACCACCCTGAGCACCAAAGGCAGCCCAGTCCTGCTTTGACTCAGCACCCAGGGCGGAGTCCCTTGCCCAGCACTGGGCAGAAGGAGGGCCTCCTCAGGGCAAGGGTCTGCCATCAGGGGGCTCTGGCAGCAGCTCCCGGGCACTTTCAGATTCCTGCAGCGCAGAGAGGTTTTCCTGGGGGAAGGGAGGACTCTGTGGCTGGAGAAACCCTGCAGCGAACACCCAGCGACCAGGTCTACAGCAGCACCAGGTCTGTGCTGCCCCCTGGTGGTCACAGATTTTACTATACGCGGCCCACAAATAAAATGAGTTTCTCTTCAGTGGCCCGGTTATCTTCTGTCGTGTAGGAGGAAGTCCCGAGCCACGGAAATTCGGTAAGGATCGGATAATGGCAATGAAATCACAGCTCTAAATCTTTTCATGGAGTTGAAGACAGACATTTTACTGTGGGAGCCATCTCATCTTTATCTGGTAAGAGCATAACCTGCTAAACAATGCCAGAATAAAAATAACAAATTCAATGTATTTAAGTCGGTTTTGAGAATGAGGAATTGAAATTAAATTCATTTAATCTATTTTGACTTTTACCCAAGTTTTTCTTACAGTTCCATCTCATTTTTCCCTCCTTACATAGTTTGTAGTTTGGGGAGCAGAGAACAGTCTATTTTCCACTCCCATGTAACTGACATGGAGACAGAGGCCTGCGGTCCCTTGGGGGATTAGTGGCCGACGCAGGTGTGCAGGCCACGGGCCCCTCAATCAGAAGTGGGATGTGAAGCAGGGAGCCTGGGAGAGCTTTCATTTTGGATTAGTGGTTTCCTCTCGACTTTTCCTCATTTTTGTCACAGCACACTCGGAACATTTCTCATCAGCTGTGTACACTATGTCAGGCATTTCAAATATGTTTCTGGAAGTTGTCAGTGCTGTTCTCTATGAGGCCTGAAGGAAAAATTCAATGTTTGCAGTAAATAAAGTACTAAAATTATAACAGCTATTAAGAGGATGGATTATTTCCAAGTTGCTTAGCCATATTGGTTCAGCGTTGAATGCAGCAATGGTGCCAACATATTAAGCACAAAAATCTTGTATTCCTGCATACTGGAAGTTCCCTAGAAGATGGTGGCGCAGGGTCAGCTGGGCGGAGATGTCAAGGGGTGTTCAGTGGACTTCAAGAAGGAGTTTATGGAGATGCAAGAGAAGGTTCTGAAAACTTTGCTAGGATGGACCCTTTGTCGAATTAGCTCTCAGGGAGGCTGATTTGGAGGAGACCGGTGACATCAGAAGCTAGAAATAGTGTTTCACAAACATTGAGCTTCCAGGGAATATTCATTCCTCAAACTGAAGGCACACGTGTATGGGTTCTGTCTTCCCCTCTGTCTAAGTCTCTGTTTTGGGTGAAATTGGGTCCTCACCCCAAATTCACATGTTGAAGTCCTAACCCCTGTACTTCAGAAAGTTGATTGCATCTGGAGATGTTTTTACAAAGGTGATGCAGTTGAAATGAGGCTGTTAGGGTGGGCTGCAATCCCACATGACTGGTGTCTTTATATGGAGAGGAGATAAGGACATAGACACACACAGAGGCGGGGAAGATCATATGAAGATCCAGGGAGAAGATGGATCTGTACTGCCCTAGGAGAGAGACCTCAGAAGAAACAACCCTGCTGATGTCTTGATTTTGGGTATCTAGCCTCCAAAACTTGGAGAATATATATTTCCATTGTTTAAGCCACCTGATCTGTGGAGCTTTATTTCAGCAGCCCTAGCTGACGAATCCAGTGTCCTTTTGAACTTAAGGAGCATGACTGGATGACCCATCCATTCAGTATCAGCACCAACCAAGTAGAAACCACCAAAGCAACTGAGCGCGGTGGCTCAGGCCTCTAATCCTGGCACTTTGGGAGACCGAGGTGGGAGGATCACTTGAGCCCTGTAGTTTGAGACCAGCCTGGGCAACATAGGGAGACCCTGTCTCTAAAAAAAATAAAAAATTAGCTGGGTATAGTGGCATGTGCCTGTTGTCTCAGCTACTTGGGAGGCTGAGGTGGGAGAATCGCTTGAACCTAGGAGGTCGAGGCTGCAGTGAGCCAAGATTGCTGCCACTGCACTCCAACCTGGGCCACAGAGTGAGATCCTGCCTCAAAAAACAAAAACAGGCTGGGTGCAATGGCTCATGCCTGTAATCCTAGCACTTTGGGAGGCTGAGGCGGAGGGTTGATTGAGCCCAGGAGTTAGAGACGAGGCTGGGCAAGATGGCGAAACCCCGTCTCTACCAAAAATACATACATGCAAAAATTAGCTGGATGTGGTGGGGCATGCCTGTGGTCTCAGCTACTCAAGAGGCTGAAATGAGAGGATGTTTTGAGCCTGGGAGGTGGAGGTTGCAGTGAGCCCAGATTGCACCATTGCACTCCAGCCTGGGTGACAGGGTCAGATCCTGTCTCAAGAAAACAAAAAACAAAAAGCAAACCCAAACCCCAAACAAACCAACCAAACAAATAAAAACAACCAAAAAACCCATCTGATATGGTTGGCTGTATCCCCACCCAAATATCATGTTGAATTGTAATCCCCATGTGTCAGGGGAGGGACCGGGTGGGAGGTGATTGGATCATGGGGGAGAACTTTCCCCTTTCTGTTCTCATGATAGTGAGTGAGTTCTCATGAGATCTGGTAGTTTGAAGGTGTATGGCAGTTTCCCTTTTGCTTTTTCTCTCTCTCCTGCTCTGCCCTGTAAGATGCTTCCCCATCTTGCTTCCCCATCACCTTCCACCATGATCGTAAGTTTCCTGAGGCCGCCCAGTCATGCTTCCCCAGTTTTGTGGTGTCCTGAAAAGGAATCCAAATAGTTTGGAAAATATCCTCAAGTCTAAATGAATCATGCAGCCAAGTTTTATGAAACCAGCCTACAAAGTTATCAATTGTTCCACGAAAGAAAATATTTACTTTTGTTACTCCTAGTTTTGTTTTAGCTCTTCTGAGATATCTGGGGTTTAGCTTATGGATTGCATGATTTGATGAAACTCTACACAACAGTTAGCAAGGAAATGAACCTTAGTGCTGAGGACTTAGGGTCCAGCCGATGGTCCGGGTACTGCAGTGTATCTTTCACTCATGGTGGTGGTGAAGGTAACACTGATGATTAACCTAACCTCTACCAAGCACTTCCTGCCCATGGCCACTAAATTCAATGCTTGACATATTTCATCTATGTTTCACAGAAATGCTAAGACCTGAGACATGGTATAAGGGAGTGGTTCAGTTTTGGTTACACTCAGCTATGTGGCCTTGAGCAAATTGCTTCACTCTCTGTGCCTCAGTATTTTCATTTGTAAAAGGTTGTTGGTAACGCAGGTGAGGCGCTTGAAGCAGTGCCTGGCACTGACGAAGGTTTTCCTAAGTGTTGACCACTAGTATTTTTCTTCACACCCTCAGTTGAGGAAACGAAGGGCGGTGGAGGTGTTAAGCAATGTGTGTAACCACTTGTATGTCATCACGTGGGGGGAATCTGGCAGCACAAGAGGCTGCATCAGTGAGACTCTGCACCGCCTCCCAGTTGGGCATGCTATCCTTGCAGGTACTTGTCTCATTCCTGCTGAGATGCACAAAGGTGACTAATGTACGTGGCCCAGCTGGGCACGGTGGCTCATGCCTGTAATCTCAGCACTTTGGGAGGCCGAGGCAGGTGGATCACCTAAGGTCAGGAGTTCAAGACAGCCTGACCAATATGGTGAAACCCTGTCTCTACTAAAAATACAAAAACTAACTGGGCTTGGCAGCAGGTGCCTGTAATCCCAGCTACTTGGGAGACTGAGGCAGGAGAATTGCTTGAGCCTGGGATTTGGAAGTTGCAGTGAGTCATGATCGTGCCACTGCACTCCAGCCTGGGTGACAGAGCAAGACCCTGTCTCAAAAAAAAAAAAAAAAAAAGAAAAGAATGTGTGGCCCCATGCTCTTTTACCCCCAACACTTCAGTGTGCATTCTCCAAAAACAAGGTCATTCTCCTCTATAATGATAAAATCAGGAAATTGACACATTTAATCTGTAGATCTTATTTGAATTGTATTAACTGTTTCCCTTATGTACTTTTTAGGAAAAGAAAATGGTTATTTTCCTGGTCCAGGAGCCAATATCCAACCCGGGGTCTCACATTTCATTTCACCGTCATGTCTGTCTTTCTTCTGTCGGGAACAGTTCATCAGCCTTTTCGTTTTTAACTTTTATGACCTTGACTTTTAGAGTACAGGACATTTACTTTGTAGACTGCCATTCAATTTGATAACAGATTTGTTTTTAATGTGCACTTTCTGGAAATATGATATTGTTCCTCAAAGAAATGAAAAAATGTTGGGAATATATGACACATCATAACAGACACCAGGTAGGAATTTTTGAGGTTGGATAGGTCTGAATAACATTCAAATTGAACTGTAAAATGGATATCATGACTGACCCTGCTACGAAAGTTGTTCATGGTTTGTATTGGTAGTTCGGTTGCCTTATATAAAATTATGGGTTTGATATATGTGGTCTCTAATATTTTGTCAAGCTCTGGCATTATTCTAATGTGAACTTCTGACACATTGTTAATGATGCTATTTACATGCTTTCTTTTTGTTTTGTTTGTTTTATTTATTTTTTTTTTTGAGACAGAGTCTCACTCTATCGCCCAGGCTGGAGTACAGTGGCACAATCTTGGCTCACTGCACCCTCCTCCTCCTGGGTTCAAGTGATTCTCCTGTCTCAGCCTCCCAAGAAGCTGGGATTACAGGCACCCACCAACATGTCCAGCTAATTTTTTGTATTTTTAGTAGAGACAGGGTTTTGCCATGTGGCCATGCTGCTCTTGAACTCCTGACCTCAAGTGATCCACCTGTCTTGGCCTCCCTAAATGCTGGGATTACAGGTGTGAGCCACCATGGCTGTTTGAACCTTCCCACACTGGTTTCCTGTGGTAAGGAACACCCTAATTCATATCACTTTAAGACACATCTTAGTTAATATCCCGTATATCCAGCTGTTCAATTCCCTCTAACTTTACAGTTTTTATTCCACTGTCTTCATGTACTCAAATGCCTTATTCTGAGCATGCTTCTGCCACATGGCTGATTTGGAATGTAGTAAAACCATCACATGCTAGGACTGGGATCCAAAACATTTCCTCCGTAAAGGAAACCACCAGCCACTGGGGGCAGCTCTATGTGTAGAACTTTCAGCTCACTGTCACCTCCGGGGCTGGCTGTAGCTTAGTCTTCCCAAGAAATCCACTGCTGTATATATACACCTGGCAGCCACTGGACCACCTGCTAAACCACAATGCAGGCTTGGGTTAGCCTTAATGCCATTGTTCCCTGGTGGATGTTCTCAAGCACATTTTGTAGGACCCTCCCATGCCCAACCCAAGGGGCCTATTTGCTCCATGTTTGCTTTTTAGGGTAAAAGAGAGAGGTAAAAGGCCCATGGTAATGTTAGACTTTGGAAATAAGTCTCAGAGAATAATGATGCTGAAAAGAAAGATAAAATTTTGCTGACAATTATAATACATAGCGAAGGTGTAGAGTTTCTAGTTCCTATTGAAATGGAAAAGAATTGGCTCTCTACTTGGAGGGTGAGAAGGATGGAGTCTAGGGAAAAAGGGATGTTTGAGTTCCAGATAGCTATTTGTGTGTGATAGTTATAGAGTGAATGGAAATTGAATGGTTTGCGCTTTACAAGGCACTTCTAAGTATCCATCCATCCATCCATCCATCCACCCCATCCATCCATGCATACATTCATCATTTATTTATTTGGCATATTTCATGGTTCATTCTAGATCATGAGAATGCAGAGGTGGAAAGAGGAAAATCTCAGTCTATTTGATGGTACAGGCAGCACAAAAGGTCATTACAATGCGATGTGCCAAGAACTGTAAAGAGGCCATCGATGGCCGGGCGCAGTGGCTCATGCCTGTAATCCCAGCACTTTGGGAGGCCAAGGCAGGTGGATCACAAGGTCAGGTGTTTGAGACCAACCTGGCCAACATGGTGTAACCCTGTCTCCAGTAAAAATACAAAAATTAGCCGGATGTGGTGGCACATGCACTTCCAGTTACTTGGGAGGCTGAGGAGGTTGCAGTGAGCCGAGATCACACCCTGCACTCCAGCCTGGGTGACAGAGTAGGACTCTGTCTCAAAAAAAAAAAAATAATAAATAAATAAATAAATAAATAAAATAAAATAAAAAACCACTGATAACTGTAAGGAGGCCTTTAATGGGATATTAGGGATCACAGAAAGACTAAGTCAGGAAACACAGAGTGGAGACAATTAGTCTGGATTTTGCAGAACATGTAGGAGTTTGCTGTGTGGAGAAGAGAAAGAGAGCATTTTAGACACAGGCAAAGGCCTGGAGTTACATACAAAAAGGAGCTGATCTCTGGAGGCTGGGATTTTGACCAGTTGTTTGGGTAATTGGAGCCATTTTGATTAGGCAAAATCAGCCCAGATGAAGTAGGAAAAGGGAGAAGAAACTCACCTGACCCCCTTCCTGTGCTTTTGCTAGGTTTCATTCTTTTGTTGTCAGAGGGAATGGGCTTGGAAAGTGTGTAATGGAAGAACAAAATGAATAACACTTTGAGAGAGTTGTTCTCACCCAGGCGTGCATTTCAGAATCTCTTTGGGAAGTTTTTGAAATGTACATGGCCAGGCCTGACATCTGACTCCGAGGTCCAGGGTGGAGCCAGCACTGACCTGCTCTGCTGAGCTTCTCCTGGTGTCCTTGGTTGGGAACACCTGTCACGTGGGTTTCCTCTACTGGGAGAATCTGCCTATCGGAAGAAAGGGCACAGATGCTATACAGCCATCTCTGGAGACAGTGCCTGTGGAATTTTTCAGGGTAACCACACCCTTTATTCTGCTAGCTGGGTGAGAATTCTAATGATAGCAACGTCTGCCAGTGTTCCTAGGAATCTCAATTTCAGAAGATACTTTCAAATAAGATTTTCGAATCTCTTCTAGAGTTCCAGAGTCTGTTTACATCCCATTCCTTTGTTAATGTTTATAGTCGGGTTTTATCATCATATTAGAGATGGGGAAGAGGCTGACTGGGGCCTCCTTGCGTGCTGACAGTGCTTGATTTCTTGCCTGGATATTGGTTCCATGGGTGTATTCATGTTGTAAAAATTCAGTGAGTTGCTCATTGAGCATTTGTGCACTTTTCAGTAAATATATGATACTGCATTTAAAAGTCAATTTAGAAACAAATGAATATATTTAAGAGTTGAAATTATAGTGCCATGAATGCAGAGACCGTTTTCCCCATGGCTAAGTCCCCAAAGGCTGATGTACTCCTAGGATAACTGGCCCCGTGGCTCTGTGCTTTGTCAGGGATGCAGTTTGGCACCCCAGCAGGGACACAGGGTCACCTGTGCAGAGAACCTCCGTGGGCAGTGGGAATGGCAATCTTGGATTTCCTGACTTTTGTGCATTGATGGTTTCACTCACAGAGTTACTTTAACCCAGTTTCATAGACTGAATGAAACCATTGGCAACTTTCTGATTTGTTTTTCAGCCTGAGTCGAAGGTGGTAAAGAGGCCAAGAATTCCCAAGCTTTCCCAGGCAAGTGGGGAAGAACACTGGGATGCCTTTTCCTCCTCCTCCGTCCATCTGCAGGCCAAGTGTGCATCGGTCACAGGCAAACTCTGAATCGAGCTTTGTGCAAGTCTCTGGAAAGAGACCCAAGATCGTGTGAGGAGCAAAAGTGACAGTGCTGGTGGCAGCGACATCTGCAGAGCCAGCCCCATCCCTGTCTGCAGCAGAATACGTATGGGAATCCTTTGTGCGAACAATCCACCCAGGATAGAATGGGGCTTTTGACATCAGTGGAGACCCAGGCTGCCTTACAATGAGAGGCCTGTTGGTCAAAGGAAGGACTATTTAATGAACTGAGAATCTGAGGCCAGCTCTGGCCATCTGCACTTAGAATCATTAGAGCAACTCTACTGTAACTGGCAACATTGAATAATGCAACAAATTCATATTTCAAAATTGTGAACTTTAAAATTTTGTGCTTGTGTCTATGATGAAAAGCATTATATAAACATTTGATACTACCATTTTATTAGTAAGGAAGCCTGAAAAAGTGTCTCTCTTTTGACTCTGAGGTCAATAATGATAATGGTTTTTCACCTACACTGGGATAGAAATGTTCTGTCAAGGATATGAAAGCACTTTATGAGGATGAAATTCATTAAAGCCCTTAATAATCAGGTAGGGAAGACAGGTGCTCACAATTGTCACCACTTGATGAGTGAACACACCGAGGCTCGGGGAGGACAATGACTCAGGAACAAGGTCGAATCGCAGGTGGGGGGTGAAGCTGATCCCTAACAGCATCCTCCAGCCCCCAGCGCTGAGGAAGGACATGGAGGGCTTGCATCGACTTTTCCTGGCAGGCTTGTGATTCCCAGCCAGAATGCAGGTGGCAATGTTATGATTCCTGGCATAACCTTCAATGCTTCAATGATAATCTCTGCCAGTGCCAGGCACCAGCTGAGTGTCACTGTGCAACTCCCAGGCTTAAGTGATGCATGCCGAGGTTTTCAGAGCAGTCTCTCATTTATTAGTTGTGTTGGAAAGAAATCTCTACTACCTAAGCGGGTACCTCTGGATTTTAACAGCTGTGGTTTATAAGAGATTTGAGAGGGGATTTGTTTTCAAAGTGCCTTTCACAAAGTAACACCTTGGATTGTAGTTTACATTCCATTCCAGTAGGATAACTTGCAACACTTCTGTGCTCAGAAATCCAGCTGTGCAAGAAAAGTCAGGTTATATTTTCATACAGCCCATTTTGGCAAGTATGCCTTCACCCCACTTTCCCTCCTCCTCACCGCTATTGGCAATAGTCCAAATGGAAGTTTTATGTCAAATGTTGAGTATCTTGGAAGCTGTCCTGCACAGACACGACTGCTTGGCTGCGTGTTGGAGAGTCGTGGTTGGACTGGGAGACCAGGAAGGTCCCTTCTAGCCTGAGATGTTATGACTCTAGAACTAATTAGTTTCAACTCATAACATGAAATGCTACTAGCTACCATTTGGTAGGCTTTTTCTGTGTTCCAGGCTCTGTGCTAAGATCTTAACATTACTCTAATTACAAAATCCCTGCCAATATTAACCTCATTTTACACAAGAACAAAGGGGTTTAGGGAAATCAAAAACTTGTCCAATGACACAGATTTAAGATTTAGCAACTGATGGCCACATGGAAATGGATTACAGATTATTCTAATTTGACGCTCTAAACCCGCAATTTAACCAGAATGAAATTTAGGGCTGCGTGCTGTGGCTCATGCCTGTAATCCTAACACTTTGGGAAGCCAGGTGTATCCCTTAAGCCCAGGAGCTTGCGAGCAACTTGGGCAACATGGTGAAACCTGTATCTACACAAAACACAAAAATTAGACAGGTGTGGTGGTGTATGCCTGTAGTTCCAGCTACTCGGAAGGCTAAGAGAAGGGAGGATCGCTTGAGCCTAGGAGGTTGAGGCTGCTGCAAGCTGTGATGGTGCCACTGCACTCCAGCCTGGGCAACAGAGGCAGACCCCATCTCAAAAAAAAAAAAAAAAAAAATGTAGGTACCTTGTGATTGCCCTTCTCTGAGATTAGCACATGGCTCCAGCTCTCAGGGTGGCGAGTAATGATTCTGTGGTCAGATGCAGTTTTGAAGTCAGGCAAGAAAACCTTTAACAAGAGCTAGAGATGTCCTGTCTATGAATTTTTCCTCTAGGCTTAGGGATAGCCCTGGGATTCCTGTCATGCCAGTTAGAGATCCACTCATGGTAAGCAATACAAATGCCCGGGAAGAGACAGTGCATTAATTGTCACCAGTTAGCAGCATTGTGAGAATTAATGTGATTTAACACATGCCCAGAGGGATGAAACTCTAGCTCCATAGGGTAGGTCCTGATGACTCCTGGAGCGGGCAGCCAGCTCAGCCAGCTCAGCTCACGGGGAGCTCTGAGAAGCCTCTCAATGCCTGGCATGCAGCCCCTGCTCAGGAGTCATGTGTCACTTCATAGTCTTGCTTTCCAGTGGGTCAAAGCCTGATGTTTATGAGAAACAAATACTCAAAATTCTGACTTGTGCGAATACAGAACACATGCAACAAAACGACCGCCATCTATTTTTAACATGCAGTCTGCGAAGTCAGGTTTAATATGACTATGTAACATATAAAGAATATATTTTCCACAAAAGGAAAATGTAAATAATGAAATATGTCTATTTCCTTCTTTTGTGGAAAATTACTCCCACAATTTGGTCCCAAGGGGGTCTTATTTGTCATCAGGTCTGTGGCTAAATGTCTTATAAAACAATGATTCTTTCTTTCCAGAGGGGTACAGGAACAGTCTGCACTGACTGCTTTTACCTGTAAATGTTTTGAGAATTCAGAAGTCACTTTCCTTCCACAATAGGTGCTAGGCATTTTGTTTAAATAAAGCAAAAACCTTTCTGTCATAAAGAAGATGTTAATAACTATTGTGTTCTTAAAGCTATGCGAAATATACAAGTACAATCTAACACTCATGGTGAAAAATACAGTAATTAAGAGCAATTCAAGTTTTTTTGTTTTGGTTTAACTTTGGAATTAAAATAAACTCAAAAATAAAAAAAATAGAAAATGGTTTTATTACATGTCAGATTATTGAGATATAAAGTATATACCAGATACTGCAAAAAAAATGTTTCATCTCATTTTAATGGGCACTCAATGCCGCTTAAAAAATCAATACCCAATACAGATTTCATCCATGAAGCTAATATTTTCTCAGATTTTATGAGGGCTGTTTTTCAGCTCCGATGGTTTCAAAAACACTTTGAGGCTCAGGTGGAAGCTGTGTGGTGAAGACGGGCTGCCTCCTACTGGCTGGCAAGAAGACGGGGTTTTCTGAGCCCAGCCCAGGGCCAGTGCCTCCTGCATAACTACACTTCTGTGAAAGGGGTAGGACCAAATGCTAACCATGAGGGCCTTTTGGCTTCTGCAAGGAGATCACTGAGACTCTATGGATCACACAAAGTAAGCAAGGAAAATGAACTCCCATATGTATCTCTCTCACTGCCACTGTACCATTTGAAAGATGTCCTAAAACTTCAAATGCATGCAGGCAGGTGAGACCTATTCCACCTTTAAGACCTATGAACTATTATGAGATTCTTTTTGTTCAACAAGTGAGGGGAGCATTTATAAAATGGTAAAAAAATTATCTTGGAAAGCATCCTCACTAGTAGAAGTACCTCATTAAATAGAGGTACAAAGGGTGGGGGAATTTAGGTGGGCCAAGGTTGGAATTGCATCCTGACCCCACACCCGGTCCCGTGTGTCCTGAAGTGTGTGCAGGCCCCTCAGAGTCTCGATCCTGCTGCAGGGCTCAGGCTAAGGGCATCTCTTGATGAGGATATGTGCTCCGAGGCCAGTGCTGCTGGAGAAACTTCTGCAGCTTCAGTGCCTCCTCTGGATTTGCTGACCTTCTAGACCCATTGGCCTTCCCTTGTCCTTTGTAAAATTTGAGTCTTTGCTGCCTTTCTGAACACTAGGATTGCCATGGTATATAGAAAGGGGAAAGCATTGGAGGTGAAATCAATCCATCCGTCAATCAACAAATCCATTTTGAACTCACAGAATAAAATGTCCAGTGCAAGACAGGCTGGCTAAAATAGGATTTTGATGGAGTTATACTTGAAATTTAATCTTTGACACTGACATTTCACCCAAACATCCATTCAATATCTCCAATACTTGTCATGTTTCTTCTGTTTTTGTCTTATTAATTATCTTATTAAGGTAATAGTGTAAATCTTTCAAAATTCTTTTAGTGCTGGCCGGACAAATGAATCCTAAATTAGGGAAAGCAGATATATTTTGACTGGTACTTCTGTTATGGCAAACTGACCAGCTACAAATTGGACCTTGTGTAGCTATCCCATCTCAATCCTCTTTATGATTTCTTTCTATGTGCTTATCAATAGACCCACAATTCTCCTATTTACTCAGACACAACATTTGGGGACCTATCACTCATTCATTTATTCATCTACTTGTTTTCTTAATCAATGAATATTTATGGAACACTTATTAGGTCCCAGACATGGTTCTAGATGCTGGGAGTATAGCAGGGACCAAAACTGATCATCTCTGCTTTCTTTAGCTTGTAGATTAGTAGGGTAGAAAGTCAATAAACTTGATAAATACATTTTATATCGGATAGTGATATATCTTCACATGGCCTCTCCTTCTGGGTCTCTGTGTCTTCTCTTCTGTCTTTTATCAGGACACATTGGATTTAGGGTCCACCTGGATAATCTGAGATGTTCTCATCTCAAGACCCATAACTTAATTTAATCTACAAAGACCCTCTTCCCAAGTAAGGCACAACCATAGATTCCAGGTGTTAGGATGTAGATATATATTTTTTTTGGCGGGGGGGGGGGCACCATCCAACCCACTACAAAGAAGAACACTGGGGCAATTTTTTTCAATTTAAAACTAGACCTTATTGGGGAGGCTTTTCAGAGAAGGTGAAATTTGAATAAAAATGTAAAAGGAGCAAAGGGTCTGCAGACTCCTGGGGCAGCTCATGCAGGTGGCAGGAAGGCAGGTGTGAAGGATTTGCTGCATCGTTCAGGAACAAAGAGGCCAGGTTGGGTGCATTGCAGGCCCGGGTAATGATACAAGATTTTAAAAATTTATTTTAAGCCAGGCACACACCTGTAATCCCAGCATTTTGGGAGGCCGGGGTAGGAGAACTGCTTGAGCTCAGGAGTTTGAGACTAGCCTAAGCAACATAGCAAGAACTCATCTCTACAAAAAAAAAAAAAAAAAATTGGCTGAATGTGGTGGTATGCACCTGTAGTCTCAGCAACTCTGGAGGCTCAGGCAGAATGATCACTTGAGCCTAGGAGGTTGAAGCTGCAGTAAGCCATGATCGTGCCACTGTACTCCAGTCTGAACGACAGAGTGAGACCCTCTCTCAACAATTTTTTAAAAATTTCATATATATTTTTTCATTATTTTTCTTTTATATTTCAGAGATGGGGTCTTGCTATGTTGCCCAGGCTGGAGTGCAGTGGCTATTTTTTCTTTTTTCTTTTTTGTATTTCTAGTAGAGATGGGGTTTTATCACGTTGGCCAGGCTGGTCTCAAACTCCTGACCTCAGGTGATCTGCCTGCCTTGGCCTCCCCAAGTGCTGGGATTACAGGAGTGAGACACCAGGCCCGGCCTTGCAGTGGCTGTTCACAAATGCAGTCATAGCTACTTGTAGCCTTGAACTCCCATGCTCATGCAACCTGCCTCAGCCTCCTGAGTAGCTGAGACCACAGGCATATGTACCAGCACTGCAGGCTGACACGACCTGACTTCTGCTTAACAGCACAATGCTAGCTGCTGTGTGAAGAATAGACAGAAAAGCCAAGGAGAGAGGCAAGAAGATCTGCTCAGATGCGATAGTCACACAAGAGTGGATGGTGGCTTGAACCACAACGGTCGCTGCAGAAATGGTTGGATTCTCCCTGTGTTTTAAAGACACCGTTGACAGGATTTGCTTATTGATCAAATGTGGGGGTGAAGGAAAAAGAGGAGTCAAGGATGACTCCACATGTTTGGCCTGAGCAACTGGAAAAAATAAAGTCATTACTGAGACGTGGAAGACTGGGGGCATCAGAAGCTTAGCTGTGGACACTGCAGGCCATCCAGATGACATGGCTAGGAGGGAGTAGGGTATGCAAGTCTGCGGGACAGGGGAGGTCTGAGCTGGAGATGTACATTTGGGACTTACAAACCTAGAGAAGATACTTAAAGCCACGATATGGGGTGACACCACCAAGTGTGGAAAGGAAAGAGAAGTGTGCCCGGAACTGTGCTCTGGGACACTGCAGTCCTTAGCGTACAGAGGAACCAAGGAAACTGAGAAGGAGAAGGTGTAGGTCAGACGTGGTGGCTCATGCCTGTAATCCCAGCACTTTGGGAGGCCGAGGTGGGTGGATCAGCTGAGGTCAGGAGTTTGAGACCAGCCTGATTAATATGGGGGAAACCCCATCTCTACTAAAAATACAAAAAATTAGCCAGATGTGGTGGCATGCACCTGTAGTCCTAACTACTTGGGAGGCTGAGACAGCAGAATTGCTTGAATCCAGGAGGTAGAGGTTGCAGTGAGCCAAGATCATGCCATGCACTCCAGCCTGTGTGACAGAGTGAGACTCAAAAAAAGAAAGCAAGGAGGGCCGAGTCCGGTGGTTCTTACACTTAACACAACACTTTGGTGGGCAGAGGCGGGAGGATTACTTGAGCTTAGCAGTTCAGGATCAGCCTGGGCAATACATTGAGACTCTGTCTCTACAAATAATAATTTTTTTTAAAAAAATAGCCAGGCATGGTGGCCTGCACCTGAAGTCCCAGCTACTAAGAGGCTGAGGTGGAGGATGGCTTGAGCCTGGGAGGTGGAGACTGTAGTGAGCTATGATTGCGCCATTGCCCTCCAGTCTGGGTGACAAAGCAACGCTTTGTCTCTAACAAAAAAAAAAAAAAAAAAAAAAAAAAATTTAAAAAGCATGAAGCAGGGAAGGCAAGAGAAGAAAGTTCTCGATTTTCTACTCATTCATCCTCTCTCCAGATATGGCCCACGCACATCCTCCAATGCAGCTATTTCTTCCTTTCAATTGTTTCTTATCCCTCTCCTGTTCTTCCTACACTCATGCTCTTCCCCATTTTCTAGCACTAGAATCAGTTTGAGGTACAAAAGGTGAGATTTCATTTTTAAAGTTTTGAGAAAAATAAAGAGGAGAAAAAGAAACCCCAATGATGGGATTTCAGACCCCCATTCTTCCACCACGGGCATACTGGTTCCTCCTCTTTTTATTCTGTCTGCATGGTGGGGGTCCTTCTTGATCGGCTGGTGGAGGAGGAGAAAGGCCAAGCTTAGTTTGTGGACGGGTCAGGGTGGGATAAGATGCAAGCCGACACTGGACTGCTGCTGCACTGCAGCTTCTCTCAGGCTGGCCCTGAAACACAGAGGTGACAGGAACGCCAAGGGGTGGTGAGTTGGGCCGTGCGCCTCATCATCCACTGAGCGCTGAGGAGAGTGGCCGGGATTCCTGAACTAGGGCAGACGGCTGGGCTGGTGGGCCTAGGCATGCAAGGAGAAAGCCTGGACCATCAGGGACAAGCAGGTCTGGGGCAGAAGTGAGTGGCTGGGCACCGGCATGAAGATCTTGGTTT